CTTCTGGAAACATTTTTCCATGATAGCACATGGAAGTTCTACCACCAAAGCATTGTATGTCTTGCAGTAAGCAGTATTCTACACAGAAGAACTTTTACAGATGAGGTTTTAGTTTATAACCTGTATAAGTTGGGTTTTTTAATGAAGCACAAATAGTTGTGGTTAAGTTAAATGTTTTATTAACAGCTTCCAGTAAACAAACTGTGGTTTGAGCATCCTCCATCCATATTTTACTGTATAGGTTTTCTTTTCCCATAAGCAAGAATTGCACTACAGTCCACTCTGCTTGAGCTGTATGAATAAAATTAGGTTCATCTTCAACGTATTCAGTAAAGATGTATATTGCTAGAAAATATAATATCCTTGTACTGACTCCTTGTGTACAGAGCAATGCTGTTAAGTCATCAGCCCCCTGCTGCTGCCTTATTACCAAAAGCACGTAGAAAGAGCTAAAACTGTATGCAATTATGTAACTTATACTGAAAAGGAAAATGTACCTGTATATTTTAGTAAATTATTTTCAAGAAATCAGTTCAAGTTTATTTGGTGTGTATCTTTTGCTGTTGTCACTTTAATAGTACTAAGCTATCACTGAAAGCCCTTACTTAGGAACAGTTGGGAACAGTTGGTAACACCTACACTTCAACGTAACTGCCATAATTAAGATTAGGGATAAGTGGTTCTTTTAGAAGATGCTCAAAGAGGTATTTAGTTCCCTGGCCCTGTTGCCATCTTATTTCAATGCTTACATAGTAATACCTATGAGGAGACTGACTTAGCTCCTTATCCAAAGGATGGATGTGATCAGTCATTTAGCCAGGAACGAGTTTTACTTAAGAACCTCCATTCCAGGTATTTATGAAAAAAACTACTAGCTTCTCGTAAGAAGTCGGTGACAGCAGACAGCATTTCCGAGGCTACTTTGTTTTGCAAGACATGATGAGGGAACTGCTTTAAGAGCACAGCTTTATGTTACCATAATGCAAGGCCCTGTATAGGCAGAAATCTATTCAGCTTCATTCTAATAGATTCCACAGACTATGACATGCAAATCCAGTAGTGAATAAAGCACCCAGGCTTGTTCTAAAGTTTAGCTCCTTCCACTTGCTACCTAAATCCCATTTGAAGTACTAGCTTTTTTTCCTAGAGATTTGCTGTGCATGAGACATCAACACAACAAAGCCTTTTGATTAAGGAATTCCTCCTTTGCACTTGCTAACTCCGAGACCTCCAAAGGAGTGATCTATCATCAATATGTATGCAATTGGCAGTACTGATCTGTGGTGGCATTTTGGTTTTATTTTTTTAAACAGTAAATATCTGTGCTCAGATATGCTGCTTCTCTCATTTAACATTTATCAGGATTCTTTTTTTTCTATTCAACAAAGTTGTGCAAGACGAGATGGTAGAACAGAACATTTGAAAATTACAGAGTTAGTATTGCTATAAAAAAATCTTCCTGCTTTTGGAAGTATTTGAGAAAGTCACCATTTCTTTTATGTGATCATTAGCACGTTTAGAAACCTTTCAATTCCTCATCGTTAGACTCCTTTGCTACCTTAGAGTTACGACAGCTATCAAAACTTTTGTAGAGCTCAATGGAGAAAGTACCATGTAAAGTATTGATTGGAACCAAGTTCATCCTGAATTAACTAAATTTGTTCCAGAACAGAGAAAGATTACTTCTGTTTCAAGGAAAAAATAACTGGCTGATACCTTCACATGTTTTAATTCACAACAATGAAAAGCTCTAAGTCACATAGTAGAATGCTGTTCTGTGCATTTCAGCACTCTATGTAATCTACAAGTAGTTTTATATTGGGAATTTGTTTTCCCTTCTCATGACCCCCACTCTACAAATAAGGCTATTCAGCTATTTTATTTCCATGCACATTTGCACATTTGCAGCTTTTTAGTTTTGGAATTACCGAGGTAGAAAATGTTACCCTAGTTAAGAATATAAACCGTTCATGTACTTTATTTCAGGCCTATATTGCCTGCTCTCCAGTTTTCCACTGCAGTAGGACACACATTTCATCCATCTATTCAATTAACATTTAGACAGTGCATTGGTGCTTCAAGTGCAGCAAAGGTGAATTAGCAACTGCAAGTTACTCCATCATGTAACAGTGAATTGTTTTAACACACAGCCTTCACAGAGGTAAGTTCTGCAAGCTGCTGCACAAGCAGCATGTGCTGCAGTTCATACTAAAGCTACTGCTGTGTTAAAAAGCTTAGTCTTTCACCAAGGAGTAGACTAGCTTGAATTTACCAATTATTGTTATTTAAGTATAACCATGGGACATATGCTGCCTGCTCAGAACAGTGAAATAAGCAGGCTATTTTTTTTCCTAGTTAGTGGTAGAAAGATAATAAATTAGAAGTACTTCTTCCAAGCCCCTCCCAGATCTGCTAGTCTCTCTTGCACCTCAGAACTGTTGCAAGTCAACACAGGTCTGTATTTCTACCCACACCTCCTCCCCCTTAAGACTGTTCTGGGAAACTGAAGTTCTAGTATTACAGAAAATACAATTTAAATTGCCTCACAAGTGAAATGGCATTGGCAGTAGGTTAACTCACTAGATTTCACCGCCTAAGTATTTGCTAGGCATCTGTTCCTGATACTTGAAAGTTTTAAGTTACTTCACTTTGTTCATTTATCATCCCAAAGCATACACCCATGTCAAACTGCAGTTTTTCAAAGTAGAGATGGACACATTTCATGGTTTGAAGTTAGGAGATGTTGATCAAAACTAGAGTGTTAAAGATCACAATACTCCTCCCCTCCCAACCACACCCATTCCTTTGTTAGCATTAGGATTGCTGTGAAATAAAAAGAGACACTTCCTAGTTGCATAGTGGCAACTAGTTCTGCCAAGTTTTTCAAAGACAAGAAACTAAACAGACATTTCTAAGAAAAAATACTTTTAAAACACATTCAGTTATGAAAGTATGTATTTTTGTGCACAATATATAGTTTAACAATCAAAAGCAGAAACTGTAAACTTTCATTCTTAATAGCGTTCAGACATACAAAGATGTACAAGTGTCAATTTCATACCATAGATACAGAAATTAATCATCTATTCTATAGACAACAGTAAGAAAATCCAAGAAGCAGACAGTGTTGTTCACTAACAAAGGCACCAACTCCCTCACAGATTTGGCTCTTGCTGCATCAGAAACTAGTATTGATAATCCACTAATACTCAAGCTTAGAGTCTCATAAATTATTTCCTTGTGTGGTATTAATTTCAATTTTACAATTATCATATACCAATCACAGTATTCTGTCAGCCAATGTGCTAATTTGTTGTTAGAGCTCAGGCAAGTCAAAGACATGGACTTGTAATGGCAAGGGAGAAAAACATTCCAAACAGTCCAAGTGCTACGGAGCAGGTTTGCACTGTGTAAGCAGAATAAGGTGACCACTTCATTCTGCTGCTCCAGGAGTCAATCATAACTAAATAACATATACTTTGCTTTCACAACTAGCAGCAGATATTCCTTCAGTTGACCTGAAGTTTGCATGGAAACAAGCACAGACATTCCCTATGCTTTCCTATGCAGGGGACTGGTAGAACTTTACTATGCAACGTTCATAAAAGTAGTTATTTGCTACTTGTTTTTAAGCATGTAATCTTCATTTACTAATTGGGTAGTTAGTGAGCTTCCGAAATTCATTAGCTTTTCAACAATTACTGGAAGCTAGACAGAAGCCAACCCACGCTACTCAAGTATCTAGTCCCCTAAAAATGACTTTACCTTATTAACATAAGGCAAACTGCCACTGGCCAATTTATTACATGCAGCTGCTCCATCCTTTGGTCAGTTGTTTCACGATTATTTTTGTTTGGTTGGGTTTTTGTGTGGTGGTTTGGTTTCTTGGGTTTTTTTTTTCTCCTGTGTGTGCGCGCGTGTGTGCATGTGGTTGATGGTTTTGGTTAGTTTTTTTTTCTTTAAATATCAAGTTGTCCTGGGAGTGAACTAAGAATACACCAGTAATACTGACAAAACATTTAACACTGCCTTACATTTCAGTAGATTAGTGTCATCTCGAGCCCTGGGATTCATTATTAGTGGCTACAGGATACATGTGGACTGTCCTTCCAGAAAAACACCCCATAATGCTATTGGTTTTAATTATTCCTCCAATATATTTGGTTTGAAGAGTTTTGCCATCCAACACTGAGTATTACAGGCTAGTTCAAAGCATCATTTTCAGGTTTAAAACAGGCATAATATATTGCTAGATGGAGTTGGAATTATTACATCACTTGCAATTTAATTACTAAAAAAAATTTTCAAGATATTCCTGGAAATACATCTGACTTTATTATAGTAAAATCAAAACATTTTCCTTCATAGGAGAGAGCTTTACCTCACCTGGTCAGAAACTCCTCTATTCTGCAAAACAAGAACATTTTAGTTGCAAGCAGCTTGGACATGGAATATTTCCAATTGCCAGTCCTAAAGTCTGCAATAATAAACCAGTCAGGGATCTATTTAGAACTAGTTTATTTAGAACTAGCATACAGTTCATAAATAGCTACCACTTCCTCCAGACTTGTGACAAAAGAGTTTCATCATAAGCATCGCTGGTTTTGGTAGGTTTTAAGAAGCTCCCCCAAAGTTAATGATGAGAGCAAACTCTGCACCAGATCTCAGTCATTATTTTGCACTGGAGAAAGGTCTAAGCTGAACTCCAATGAAAACTGGCCAAGACAGATTAAGATACGAGATGTGAGAAAGCTGCATGCTTTTCTACTCAGTTTCTTCTGGTGAAGATGTATCATTCATAAAAGTTAATTTTAGATGAGGGGTGTATAATTTTCTATCAAATAAATACTTCAGGGAGATAAGTTTTATTTTCTTCTACTCATGGGGTTTAGATCCAGTATATATATATAACATATACACAGCAAATATTATCAGAACAATGCAGCATGATTTCCAAGTCGTGGCCTCTGAACTTATGTCAATTTACAGTAAAGAAATGGAAACCTGTATATCCCTCCAGTTACTATCACCTTAAAGTTCATGTGGTTAGGAAATGTGTTAAAGCCCTCAACCTACAAGTTGTAAGTAATGGGTCTCTTCAATTCTGTGATCCACCAACTCAAGCCCAAACCAATCATGTGGTTTGGATTGTAAAATGGTTAGCATGCTAGAGATACAAGTCAGACAATGGTCACCAAGTCCCTATTTTAGTGAAGAAACTCAATTTATGAGGTATTTCAAACAGTGCAAAGTGCTCTCTCCAACTCCACAACTGTGAATTCAGGTTACCCTGCTTGTTCAACTTCAATAAAGGACTGTAACTTTGGGCGCAGGAAAATAAGATAATTAAAAAAAAAAAAAGGACAAAAACGGAACTGAGGGGGAAATAAAACATGCAAGATTCTCAAAGCCGTAACACTTTTAGCCCTGAGCAGTTTAAAGAAAGTGGAGGCAGATGAGTAGAAGAAAGTTGGCTGCTTCCTTGGGAGTCATGGCCATATTTACATGAAGCAATAAAAGGAAATTAATCCCTATAGAAAGGGCACTGCTTCATTTTTCCCAGCCCCTCTTATTTCAGAATAGGAGAAGTTTCACAGATTCATGAACATGGTGGCTTGCAGCTGGAGAGACAGTGGCATTGAACAATGACAACAGGCATTAATTATCAATTAATTTCTTGGCTCTGATGTTGGCTTGCTCAATGCGATCCCTGTTTGTATCAGCCTGAAAGAGAAAAATTAGTAAGTCATTTTCAGATTCCATGCAGAACAATTTAGAAGTTCAAACTGACATGACCTGCTGAATTGCAAGGTATTATCACTATGGTAGACAGAAGGGGAGCAACTAGAAGTAATTAACTTTTTCCCCTAGCCAGCATAAGATGTCAAATTTAGCAGAAACAGAACCAGGAGAAATAATTTTTACTCTTTAGATGACTTTCAAAACACAGTAGCTTGCCTCAGCTAGTCAGGAAGAATATTAACAAAACTAGGCAATGAAAGTTCCCTCTTCATGTGTTTAGACATCTTAAGGGTCTCTACAGAGCAAAGGAGTCAGAATTATTTTGCTTAGTGCAAATTCCTGGTTTTCATTCACACCCCTGCCCAGTGTCTGAGTGTCATAACAGAATGGTATTTATAAGAAAAGGCATTTTATGATTGTTTTACTATCATAAAGCATCAAAAAAAAATAATCAGCTCACAGCATCTAGATTCAACAAGTGTCAAATTACAGTTTTACTGAAAGGTATGATAAGCAGCTCTGAAATAATTCCCCAATTATCTAGCCTGCAGTGGGGAAAGTGCAGGAGAGGTAATAAGCACAAAACTAGCCTCTGCCCTCACCATGACTAGAACTCCTAAGAAGCTCTACCTGTGCCAAGTATTAGCCATTTCACATCTTCACACCACAATGGACATTGGCAGCTCAAATCCTTGCCTCCTGTTCTCTCCTTCCTGCCTTTTGGGTCAAGGGTAGGGGCAAGAATCTACTGCAGAGAAGTGAGACTAACCTGTTAACACCACTTTGGAAACACATTGCTCTAGCTACTAGATCTTCCAAGAAAAAGTCAGTAACATAAGTTTCATTATGAGTTTATTCAGACTAGGAGTCCTGCATAACACTGCAGAATACCAAAAGTCACCCAGTCAAGTCTACATATTTCCCAGGTGAGTTGGAATTTTTTTAAAAAATAAAAACTGAAGCTTAGCTTAATACTGCTCTTTGTTTCTAAAGTTTCTATGATTCTGTCCTTTGGAGATTTACACTAAACATTTTGATTTGGTTTCTCTACTGTTCATTAGATTTAAAAAGTTACCAGAAAAGGATTAATTTAAGTATCCAAGTTGCCAGTCTCAAAGCCAGGAATTGCACTTGCATTTTTATTCTGTTCTGTAAAGCAATTCTAACTTGTATACATTATATTTTAATAATTAGTAAGACTTGATCAGCAAGAATTATTCAGACCACTGAAACAAAAGAGCATCAAGTCAAAACAGGTGCTTGAATCTACTAGAAACACTAATGCTAAAACCAGTAATTCCCACTTGCAGTTCATTTGACCAAGCAATTTTCAGTCCAGACAAGTTGTAAAAATTTCACATCTTATTTTAAACTCCAATAAAATTTTTAGTGTACTTTTAAATGTTTGACTTCCTTTAACTGATAATCACCTCAGATCTGCAGTTTTGGGGAACAGTGAGAGACAGTTAAGGCATCCTCCATAAGATCATATTGATTGGCCTTATTAACACCACAGCCCTTTAATTACTAGACAAAATTGAGATGCTGGCACAGGCACAATCAGCATTTTTGTCAAACTAGCTCTGTATATTTCAGAAAATTCCACTCCTGTTGCTTTTTAATCCTACTGCATACTTTAGTGACATTTTTAAACTTCCCCTTTTGTCTTAATGCTGTAATTTTATGGTGTTCACTTCTGCTTTTTGAGAACTTTAATACAGACTGTTCATTAAAGCTTTTGCTTCCTTTCTAAATGAGGATGTCTGTGAAAGAACTTCTATTCACTGCAGAATACAGGGATTTCTACAATAGGGCTAACATCCTCATAAGTTGCCCTTTTAAAGAACCACCCCCAAAACATGTTTATATATATCATTGATCTGTTTGGGGAAGATAATATTTAAATAACTTAAAGTAAGAAAATGTTATAAAAATCCCCAAAGTTACTGAGTAACTTGATGTGCAGATGAGGGCAGACCATGTCCCCGTGTACCTACTATCCCCATTATTCCAAAGATTCTCCAGCCTCAATATTAACTTGTCCACAAAAATTAGGATGATGAATTACCTGTGTTTTATTTTACATTCAATTATTGCAGTTAATTTTTAGGGGCTCCAGAACCACTTTGCCATTGTTAAAAATACCTATTCCCTATCACATAAAAGATTCCTTGTGAGGTTATACCTCCAGAAAGTGTTTGTTCTTTTGTTCCCATCAAGGTTATTTGTTTTCAGAGTAAACAGTAACCTGTGCTGTGTATTTAGGTTTCCTGACACTGAAGCATTTGCATTTCTTGCTATATCCCCAAACATCAAGGTGCATCTCTTGTTCAAATCACTGAGACCTCGAGGATGGTATAACTTTAATGCATATTAACTGCAAATACAGATAGGACAATGAATGTATTACTTTATAACTTCTCAGCTACAACCACTAAGCTGAAAGCAGAGAACACCTTTGACACTTACCTTTACATTTATCCGGTCTATTTGTTTATTCTGGGCATCAATCTCATTGCCCATATCCAAAGCCATGTTTTTCAAATTCCCAAGAATGTTTCCCACTTGAGCTAGATTTTCATCCATTTCATCTTCTCTGGCATCATTTGTTATCCTGTTCAAATAATTAGGACAATGTTTCAAGACTCAAGAACTTGCTTTTCTCTACCCTAGTTTTACTCTAATAGAACATGCTTGTTGCACAATGTATTCAAGCCAAGTTATGGTTTCCCCCTTAAACCCCCCTGTATTCCAAGCAAACATCCACCAAAAAAGATTGCTAAGCTAGCTGCTATTACAAAAATCACCTTAGAAATTAAAATAATAGCTAGCAGAGGCAGTTTAAGATGAGTTTGTCTTACATATACTTTATGACAATGAGAGTTCTTGATATTTTTAACAGTCCTCTAAATAACTGAGCACTAACCTCTACAGTCGTTACATCCAGAAAGACTGATAATACCACCACTATGAAAAAAAATTAAAATGTATTTAAGATAAGCACTACAATTCTGAAAGTGTAGCTGTCTGCCATCTCCTCCCCAAGCAGTGGTAAAAAACTTATTCAGCAACTTCACCTAAAATGCATCTGAAAAAAGCTGACTACTGATAATTTAGGATTTCTGCATTTGAGATCAAGGAATATGAATGAGCCAACCTTGTAATATATCCACCACTTGGTCCTCCAGAACTTTGAGGCTGCTGCCGATTTATGCTTCTTGGTTGCATGGATATCACATGATCTACTGAGTTCTCTGTTCCATCTCCCCAGGTTGCTGTGTATGCTTTACTAGCCTCGAAGCTCTTCGTCCTACTCCGTAAAAATAAGAAATCTGAACCACTCTATCAGAAATATGGTTTCCTCACTGAAATACAGTATTAATGTAGGATTTTCACAAACATTTGTTTTGTGCCAGAAAGAGATTCAATTTTGTACACATAAAGCCTTGTCTATATCACACAATTTCTGTTATCTTGATAGTACAAGCATAACTGAGTTACAGTAAGGACAGTGATTTAGTCTCAAGCCTTAATGTAAGAACAGTATTTCCTTAAAGTAACACACTGCACCAGAGGACAGAAACTTATGACAGTAACACAAAGGCTTACTCTGTCATAAGATAAAGTTGCACCTACAACAGGACTTAGTCCAGAGCCATGATCAGTTACTTTTCAGGAAGAAATGGGGATCAACGAAAGTACTCCCTCAAACACAAACAGCTGTACTATGCAAGAAACCCACTAATCGCTTCTGGTTTTTGTCAAACATTCTTAGTTGCCAAGTCTTTCTTTTTAAATTTAATGTTTCTCAGGTTAATTTTGATTAGAAAGAACAGTAATGTTGAAATAGCTCCTTCATTCTGCAATTCAATTGTACTAACTCCATTAGATCAACAAATCAACTTACCATTACACTTTTACCACATTATTCATAGATGAAAAATAAAAATTAAAGAAAGCACACAGACGTGATGCAATCTCACTAATCACAGAGCCAAAAAACCAAGACGAGAAGAAAATACAAGAGAAAAATAACTGCACTAAATTGAGGTCAGTTCTCATGAACCCTAAAGAACTTATTTTGAGAAGAATATTCTCATGTTCACCTTGTGTTCTGGCATGCTCAGGTTTAAGCTAGACAACCCAGACTCCACTGTCACTTTTCTGCTTCTTTAAAAGCCTGCTAGGGGAAATATGGGTTGTCTTTCAGTACATCTAACTTTAGAATTACAGGTAACCAATTTCTATAGATATAGTGCCTTGCAGTAGCCCAGATATTATACACCTGAAGAGTTGTGAAATTAGTGTAATGAAGACACATTCCTCTCATTCTACTGGCATTTATGTATAGGAAAAAATTGTGTTTCATAGGTCAGATCTCACAAAAAGTAGTCTAGAATGAATAGATCAAGGAGAAGAAATGGAATAATTTCTCAGTCCATAATGGAAATGTTACACCCAGCAAAACCCAAAAGCAACCTAAACTAGTCAATTCTTGCTCCTTGTGCATCCACAGGCTTAAAGATCTCTTTAGGTTTACTGCGACTAGATTGGGCACTATATTTTAATCTCAGTCATACTAAAGCCACAACAGCAGGAGAACTTTGTGTGACCTGCTTCTGGATTAGAAAAGTTTTAGGTGCCAGAAGCAACTGTGAGGACTTCACTGACCAAGAAACCAGTGGCCTGAAAATTAGTTGCACATCTGAAATAGACAGCAAGAAAAAGAATTGTTGTTCAAACTAAGCACAGTTCAGAGCAAAACCTATCAGCACTTGTTTTTAGGAGCTGTTTTTCACACTACTATACATTGATTTTTCTCATGCTTCATTTCTGTAAAACTGAAGCAATTTATACAACCAGTCAAACCAGCAAGGGCTCAAGCAATTTATACAACCAGTCAAACCAGCAAGGGCTCAAGCAGTTGTTCAGCGTTTCCACAGCTTTTCCACTTTGTTCTATTTACATCGGTATTACAATACATCACAGACACAAACAGCCCTGCATGCAGACATCACATACATGCAAGCACAAATACAACAGAAGCATCACTTCAGACATCTGGTTAAATGTACATCTGCACTAATAAAACTGACCTTGTCCTAAAATCCACTTTCATCAGTTTAAGTGAATACAGCTTCTTATCCTAGTCTTCAGTTTTAGAAAGCAAGCATCAGTGTTAGGAGAGAATGGACAAGAAAGAATAGTAAAGACAAACAAACAGGTAAATTGTTATTAGTACATAGATTATGTAACAGTACTGCCAATAATTTGCATTTTCAGAAAGCTTTTAAAATAATCTAAGCCTAGGAGAAATTATAAAAGTGATATTTAAGTCAGCAAGTGATCTGATTTAGCTTTATGCGCTCAAGAAAAAATATGAAAAGCTCTGGAGATAACTAGTTGACAAATAACTTTGACATTGACAGAAAGTATGATGTACCAGTAGATAAAAAGACATTCACTGTCTCTTCTTCACTGCCTTCTACTTATCCAGTATATTTTTTTCTGCACATTACTGCCAAGTTTGGTACACAGGTCTATTTGTTTTCTTGTTATCTGTGTAGCTGGAGTGCCACAAGAGTTCACAAAATTCTGAGCTTACTCTGTGTCAATAAACTGATTAGCTTCAGTGAAATAAGACTATTAACTACAGAAAACAAAGACTGAATGCGTCAAAATGCTCAAAGTCCACCAGCTTGATCAAACCAATATAAAGCAGTAAGCACAATTATTCCTGACTGAACTGTCTGTCTTTTCAAGGGACTAAAGCTCTAAGACTTTCAGCATTAGAGGCAACAATCATATAGAATCAAGTTTGGAAGAAACCTTTAAGAAGAAGTCTAACTGTCAGCATACCACTGCCAATGTAACCCCTAAACCACTAAACCGAAACACCCAGCACCAGATCCAGATGCCTCTCAAACACCTCTAGGGATGGTGACTCCACCACCTCCCTATACAACCTATTCCAATGCCTGACCACCCTAACAGTGGAAAAAAAAATTTCTAGTATCTAATCTGAGTTTTCCCTGTCTCAGCTTAAGGACGTTCCCTCTAGTCCTGGTATGGTAGAAGAGGTCCTCTAGACCTAGGCATCGTAGAAGAGATGAGTCCCCACCTCACTATAACTAACCTCCTTTCAGGTAGTTGTAGAGAACAATGAGGTCATCCCTGAGCTGCTTCTTCTCAAGACTGAACAAACCCAACTCCCTCAGCTGTTCTTTGTAAGACATGTTTTCTAGACCTTTTATGAGCCTCATTCCCTTCACTGGACTCACTCCAGGGCCTCAATGTCCTTTTTAAAGTGAGTGGCCCAAAACTGAACACAGTACTTGAGATGTGCTGGCCACATTATTCTTGATACAGGCCAAGATGCCGTTGACCTTGTTGGCCACTGGGGCAGACTGTTGGCTTGTATAGTGCTGGCTGTCAACCAGCACCCCCAAGTCACTTTCTGCTGAACAGGCCTGAAGCCACTCCTCTCCAGCCTGTAGAGCTGCATGGGGTTGTGACCCAAGCGCAGGATCTGGCACTTCACCTTATTGAGCCTCATGAAGTTGTCCTCAACTCATTGATCAAGTCAGTCCAGACCTCTCTGTAGAGCTTTTCTATCCTCTGGCATATTGACAGTCCCACCCAACTTGGTGTTGTCTGCAACTTTACTGAGGGTGCACTCAGTCTCTACATCCAGATCATCAATAGAGATGTTAAATAGGACTGGCCCCAATACTGAGCCCTGGGGAACACCACTAGTAACCAGACACCAATTGGATTTAACTCCATTAAGCACAACTCTCTGGGCCCAGTCATCCAGACAGTTTTTTACCCACCAGAGTCCACCCAGCCAAGCCACAAGCAGGCAGTTTTTTAGGGGGATGCTTTGGGAAACAGTGTCAAATGCTTTACTGAAGTCCAGATAGCCTACATTAACAGCCTTTCCCTTATCATTAAGCAGTTCACTCTGTCACAGAAGGATAGCAAGTTGGTCAAGCAGACCCTTCCCTTCATAAATCCATGTTGGCTGGGTTTGATCCCCTGGTTGCCCTGCATGTGCTGTGTCATGGCACTCAGGATGATCTCTTCCATAACCTTGCCTGGAACTGAGGTTAGGCTGACAGGCCTGTAGTTCCCTGGATCATCCTGAACCTTCTTGTAGATGGGTGTTACATTTGCTAATTTCCAGTCATCTGGAACTTCTCCAGTTACACAGGACTGCTGGTAGATGATAGAGTGACCTGGCAAGTTCTTTTGCCAGTTCCCTCATTACTCTGGGGTGGATCCCATCAGGGCCCATAAACCTGTAAGTGTCTAATTGTCATAGCAAGTCACTAATCATCTTTTCCTTGATTAAGGGGCTTCACTCATCTCCCCATCACCAACTTCCAGCTCTGGGAGCTGGGTATCCTGAGGACAACTGGTCTTGACATTAAGACTGAGGCAAAGAAGGCATTAAATTCCTCATCTGTTGCTGTCGTGGTTTAATCCCAGCCAGCAGCCAAGAACCACGCAGCCACTCACACTCCCTCCTCCCCCCTCTTCCCCCAAAGAAATGGGGAGGAGAAAAAATAAAGTAAAATATGTAGGCTGAGATAAGAACAGTTTAATAATAATAAAGAGCAGAATGAGCTAA